GCGCCCCCTTGTCCTCTGTGATGACCTCAGGGGGAATAACTACACCGAGTTCACTATATGAACCAGCGATGCCTTTATACATCTCCTTAATCTCCCTATCCCTGGACATGTGGGATCTCCTCCATGGTGGGGGTTGGGGAAAGACATGGCAACCGACCCTGTAAAATAATTGCTAAGAGAATTCATGGAAAATGTTGCTTATGAGTGACAGTCCATCCAATCACCAAGGGTCGGATACGACTGAATGGATAGATAGACGGACGGACAGACAGACAGACAGACAGACAGACAGACAGACAGACAGACAGACAGACAGACAGACAGACAGACAGACAGACAGACAGACAGACAGATAGAATCTCCCTAATCTCCTCCTCTCAGTAGAGAATACATTCAGTTCCTCTAATCTCTCCTCATAGCTGATCTCCTCCATGCCTCGTATCAGTTTGGTTGCCCTTCTCTGTACTTTCTCCAGTTCCCCAATGTTCTTTTTGTGAATTGGTTTCCAAAACTATGGGAGTTTGGCACAGGAAGTAAAAGAAATATCTTCAACAGGACACAGATGGTGAAAAAATAATCTGACAGGGGTTATAACCCTCTCTTTCTACAGCCAAAATGGAAAACAAAAGTTTTGCCTAAAGTTCTACTTTTATATGGTGTTGCCCTCCTTTGGGGCTATAACATCCTCCACTCTTCTAGGAAGATTTTCACAAGATTTAGGAGGGTGTCTGGGTGCATTTGTGCCCATTTGTGAGGTCAGGTGCTGATGTTGGATGAGAAGACCTGGCTCAAAATCAGCATTCCAATTCATCCCAAAGGTGTTCAGTAGGGTTGAGGTCAGGGCTCTGTGCAGGACACTCGAGTTCCTCCACACCAAAGTCATCAAATCAGGTCTCTATGGAACTTGCCCCCATTTGTGGTTATAACATCCTCTATTCATCTGGGAAGATTTTCCACAGGATTTTGGAGATTGTCTTAGAAAGTGTGCCCATTTGTGAGGTCAGGTACTGATGTTGGAGGAGAAGGCCTGGATCACAATTGGCATTCCAATTCATCCCAAAGTTGTTCAATAGTGTTGAGGTCAAGGCTCTGTGCGGGACACTCGAGTTCCTCCACACCAAACTGGATAAACCATGACATGATTTTGGAGGATGTCCGGAAGAATTTGTGCCCATTTGTGAGGTCAGGTACTGATGTTGGATTAGAAGACCTGGCTCACAATCAGCTTTCTAATTCATTCCAAAGGTGTTCAGTAGGGTTGAGGTCAGCTTTCTAATTCATTCCAAAGGTGTTCAGACTAGGGTTGAGGTCAGGGCTCTGTGCAGGACACTCAAGTTCCTCCACACCAAACTGGTCAAACCATGTCTTTATGGAGCTGGCTTTGTACACAGGGGACAGTCATGGTGGAACAGAAAAAGGTCTTCACCAAACTGTTACCACAAGGTTGGAAGAGTACAATTATGTACGATGTCTTTGTATGATGTAGTAAATTACATTGGAGACACCAGAACTCCATCATTTGGAGGGAGTCCACATCCTTTAGGCCATATTGTGTATCAGTTTGGAGTGGCATGACCCTATTAGCATTATTGGTAGAGTTCTTTAATCATGATCCTCCAAGAGCAGGACTCACGTTGGATGAGAAGACCTAGATCACAATCAGCATTCAGTAGGGTTGAGGTCAGGGCTCTGTGCAGGACACTCGAGTTCCTCCACACCAAACTGGTCATCCATGTCTTTATAGAGTTGGCTTTGTTGACAGAGACACAGTCATGGTGGAACAGATTAGAGTCTTCACAAAAATGTAACCTCAAGGATGGAAGAGCCAGTTGCGTACAATGTCTTTGTATAATGGAGTATTACCACTACCCTTCACTGGAGACCCCTGAACTCATCAATCATTTGGATAGTTTCAGCCATGTAGTTCATTTTGGGGCATGCCACCCTCAAGACGTTTTATACTCTGCACTCCTAAACCTCGACAACCAACTTCAAGAACAAGCTTTGGCCAGTGAAGCCTCCAGAGACATTCTGGTGCTTATTATTCCCACATAACGCTCATAATGAAGTTCTTTAGCTGGAATGCGGTATAATGCTGGATTTGCACAATGAGGGCCGGTGACAGACTCTCTAAAGCCGACCTTTGTTTCCCGTATTCATTTCTGTCTTTTCATTAGAGCCGGGTGTAATCAGGGAGGGCCAGTTTATCAATGCCAGCGAGCCGGGCACACTGTCTAGTTGGCAGTAATTGTCTTGGAGGCATTGATTAATAGCATGCTAATGCATTGCAATGTTCCTGGGCATTATCTCTTCTTCTCCTCCCATCACCGAGCTCCCTGCGTTGTCTCTGAACCCCGGGGGGTGCGGGCGTCACAATAATTGAAGCAGAAAATCCGCCTGTTTGGGAATGTTACTATTATGGCCATTGGAGGGGGAGGCGTTTCATGAACTTGTTGCTGCAAATATCATCAGACATGACTAATTCCTACGTGTTTTACCTAATAGTACAAGTACTCCGTACCGGGACAGGGTTGTCTAGCACCCAGGGCAAGGCTGTGGAACTGCGCCCCCTCCCCCACTGTCAATTCATGTTGTAGAATGGGTTTACTGCCGTGTGTCCATTCTCTGTCCTCTTGCTCTGCTGTGCCCAGGGCAGCTGCCCCCTCCTGCCCACCCCTTGTCCACCCCTTATCCACCTCTTGTCTACCCCTTGTCCCCCCTTGTGTCCACCTTTATCCACCCCTTGTCCACCCTTTATCCACCCCTTGTCCACCCTTTATCCACCCCTTGTCCCACCCTTTATCACCCCTTGTCCACCCTGTAATCCACACCCCCTTGTCCACCCTTTATACCCCTTGTCCACCCTTTATCCAACCCTTTATCCAACCCCTTGTCCACCCTGTAATGGAACCCCAACTGCACTGGGGTATTTCCGTTAAACTCCCGCCTCCCTGTCCGAACACCGACCACGGACACCACCGCTGACCATACAAGACTAGACGACACCAATCTTGGAAGGAAATAGACTACTTTATTTTAAAACAGATACAAGATATATACATTCAAGGGAACCTTCCCCCCTCCCTGCATAATGACACAGAGCGGGGCAATCCACACCCAGTAACAAGAGACACACCAGCAGACAGTCCCATCAGGAGGGAGGGCTGCCCGAAACACCCCCCACCAAGCCAAAACACAAACACATACATTCCATAATAGTTTGCTCCCAAGCCAGACACACAATAAAACAATGGGATGCAACCACATGGCATTGAACAATCCACAACCCCCCCACCCCACCTATACATGTCTACACAATATTAGGACATATCACCCTGCACCCCTAACAGGCACAGGGTGACATACACGTAATAGGGATATGGGGAGCTGAGACAGGGGTCTCCCCACCTCTCCAAAGTGAGCTGTATTCCATGGGCCCCCCACCCAAAGTCACTCCTGTCACACACCCCTTTATCCACCCCTTGTCCACCCCTTGGCCACCCCTTATCCACCCCTTGTCCACCCCTTGGCCACCCTTTATCCACCCCTTATCCACCCCTTGTCCACCCCTTATCCACCCCTTGTCCACCCCTTGTGCACCCCTTGTCCACCCCTTGGCCACCCCTTATCCACCCCTTATCTACCCCTTGTCCACCCCTCATCCAGCCCTTGGCCACCCTTGTCCACCCCTTCTCCTGGTCCTGCAGGTACTCTTATGGTGACACTGGAACCTGTTGCCACACAGTATATAAGTGCATTACACACAACATTTACTTGTGCATGTAACCAAACAAAAAAGAACTGCGATTTTCTGAAAGGGTCTTAGCAGACCGTATACACTTTTCAGTTGGATGGTACCGAGGTGCAGTATGAGAATCAGGAGGAGGAGTGCGACGGCGGCCCAGAGGAAAGGCAGCACAGAACTGGTTGCAGAGACTGAGGGAGCCTCTTGGGGTGGGCAGCAGTGGTAAGTATTAGTCCTGATTCTCCTGACTATGGCACCCCTAGACTTAAAAGGTTAATTCACCTTTTCCCAAAAAATTAAAAGTTGGACTAACACTGTACAACCCCCCTCCCCGCCCCTTTAACCCTGTAGATGCTGAGCTGTCATGGCCCACACAGCCCGTGTAGCAGTCCAGGGATTTGAAAAAGAGGTTCTTCCTGCAGGGCTTCCTGGACGGATCAGAGCAAATTCAGAATCACTCTCATCCCTCCTGGAAGCCCAGCAGGAAAGAAGAGGGAGAAGAAGAACAGGGATTTCAAATCCCCAGCAGGGGCAGACTGACCATTTGGAAACTCGGGCACTGCCTGAGGGCCCGGGGTCGGTAGGGGGGGCCCCATGAGATGCCCCTGGTACCTTTTTCATAGGCTTTTTTGAGTTTGGGCAAGGACACAGGAGCCCTATGATCCCCTATTGCCCGGGGGCCCCATGAGTTGTCAGTCCGCCCCTGATCCCCAGACTACTGCACGAGCTAAGTGGGTACTGACAGCTCAGCACCAATTGAGGTAAACACAGAGGAAACGGGGGGCAGGGCCGGGACAAGGGGTGGACCGAAGGGTCAGCTGCCCTAGGTGCAATAGTTTGCTATAGGGATGGGGGTACCTTATACACTATATTGCCAAAAGTATTGCACCCCCCTCCAAAACAATGGATTCAGGTGTTCCAATCCCCTCCATATCATGTGATTCAGGTGTTCCAATCCCCTCCAAATCAATGGATTCAGGTGTTCCAATCCCCTCCATATCATGTGATTCAGGTGTTCCAATCCCCTCCATATCATGTGATTCAGGTGTTCCAATCCCCTCCCAATCATGTGATTCTGGTGTCCCAATCCCCTCCATATCATGTGATTCAGGTGTTCCAATCCCCTCCCAATCATGTGATTCAGGTGTTCCAATCCCCTCCCAATCATGTGATACAGGTGTTCCAATCCCCTCCATATCATGTGATTCAGGTGTTCCAATCCCCTCCATGGACACAGGTGTATACAATCAAGCCGCTAGACATGCAGACGGCTTCTACAAACATTGGTGAAAGAATGGGTCGCTCTCAGGAGCTCAGTGACTCCAAGCGTGGTCCCGTGATAGGTGGCCACCTGGGCAATAAGTCCATCCGTGACATTTCCTGGCTACTAAATATTCCACGCTCAACTGTTAGTGGGATTATAACAAAGTGGAAGCCACTGGGAACAACAGCCACTCAAGTGGTAGGCCACGTCACATGACAGGGCGGGGTCAGCACATGCTGAAGCGCACAGTGCGCAGAAGTCGCCAACTGTCTGCAGAGTCAATAGCTAAAGACCTCCAAACTTGGTGTGACCTTCAGATGAGCCCAACAACAGTGCGTAGAGAGCTTCATGGAATGGGTTTCCATGGCCGAGCAGCTGCATCCAAGCCTTCCATCACCAAGTGCAATGCAAAGCGTCGGATGCCGTGGTGTAAAGCACGCCGCCACTGGACTCTAGAGCAGAGGAGGCGTGTTCTCTGGAGTGAATAATCACGCTTCTCTGTCTGGCAATCCGATGGACGTGTCTGGGTTTGGCTGTGGCCAGGAGAACGGTACTTGCCTGACTGCATTGTGCCAAGTGTAAAGTTTGGTGGAGGGGGGATTATGGTGTGGGGTTGTCTTTCAGGGGTTGGGCTTGGCCCCCTAGTTCCAGTGAAGGGAACTCTTAAGGCAACATTTTGGACAATTTCATGCTCTCAACTTTGTGGGAGGAGTTTGGGGATGGCCCCTTCCTGTTCCAACATGACTGCCCACCAGTGCACAAAGCAAGGTCCATAAAGACATGGAGGAGCCAGTTTGGGGTGGAGGAACTTGACTGTCCTGCACAGAGTCCTGACCTCAACCCCATAGAACACCTTTGGGATGAATTAGAGCGGAGACTGCAAGCCAGGCCTCCTCCCCCGACATCAGTGCCCTCCCCCGACATCAGTGCCCCTCCCCCGACATCAGTGCCTGACCTGACAAATGTGCTTCTGGAAGAATGGTCCAACCTTCCCATAGACACCCTCCTAAACCTTGTGGACGGCCTTCCCAGAAGAGTTGAAGCTGTTATAGGTGCAAAGGGCGGGGCCAACTCAATATTGAACCCTACGGACCAAGACTGGGGGGTCATTAAAGGTCATGTGTGTGGGAAGGGCGGGGCCAACTCAATATTGAACCCTATGGACTAAGACTGGGGGGCCATTAAAGGTCATGTGTGTGGAAAGGGCGGGGCCAACTCAATATTGAACCTATGGACTAAGACTGGGGGGCCATTAAAGGTCATGTGTCTGGAAAGGGCGGGGCCAACTCAATATTGAACCCTATGGACTAAGACTGGGGGGCCATTAAAGGTCATGTGTGTGGAAAGGGCGGGGCCAACTCAATATTAAACCTATGGACTAAGACTGGGGGGCCATTAAAGGTCATGTGTGTGGGAAGGGCGGGGCCAACTCAAATATTGAACCCTACGGACTAAGACTGGGGGGCCATTACAGGTCATGTGTGTGGAAAGGCAGGAGACCAATACTTGGGGCAATATAGTGTATATATATCATTTTTTTTTAGTTCTGACCATAATATTTTTATATATATATTCCACTTTTATTAGATGTATAAGTGAAGTGCAGGAGACATGCAGTGTTCCGGGGAGGTGAGCGCGGTTCTTTCATCTTTCTTGTCTTATAATAGATTTCGGATTCTCTAATAGAGACAGTTTTCTGCAGATTCGTTTTTCTTCACATGACATTTCCTCTTCCAAGCGTAAACATAAAACTCTTCTGAAATATAATAGTTTCCTTCTAATGGAGGGAAAAAAACATCATTTTGATGATTAAAAATATTTTTATGTAAACAGTGTGAAGTTTTATTTTGTCTTTATTGTTATCTCTCCGATCGGTTCCATTTGTTTTATAGAGAGCTCCATTTGTTTTATTGTTTTCCTTCAGTATGTGGAATATATAATGATTGAAATCTCAGATCAGAACGAGGACATCTGCCATTCCCCATACGTGAAAAAGAGCGAGGAGCTCCAGGCACACTTCAACAACCTTTTTTGTCCAACGGTGGCCTGAGAATGGTGTGGCCTGAGAATGGCCTTCTAAAATCTGGGTGATTATAATGGGAAAAGTAGGTAGGAGGTAGTAGAGGAAATGCTATTCTTCCCCTTCCTCTCTTCCTTTCCCTCCATTCCTTCACCTCCCTGCCTTCCTTCCTCTTCCTCCCCTCCTTCCCACTCTAGCGTCCTTCTCCTCCTTTCTTTCCCTCCTTTCCCTTCACCTCCATTTATCTTCCTCCTGCCCCACCTTCCCTTCCTTACCTTCCTCCCCCTCCCTCTCCTCCTTCCTTCAATTAATTCTTCTCCCTCTCCTTCCTCCCTTCCTTCTCCTCCCTTCTCTCCTTCTCTTCTTTCACCTCCCTCCATAGCTTCCTTCCTTTGCCCCCTTCCTTTCTCTGTCTGCCTCGCCCCATTCCTTCTTCTTCCTCCCTTCCCCTCTGTCTCTTCCTTCCTCTCCCTCCTTTCCTTCTCCTCCCTTCCCATCCCTCTCTTCCCATCCCTCCCTTCCTTTCTCTCCCTCCTTTCCTTCTCTTCCCTTCCTTCCTCTCCCTCCCTTCCTTCCTTCCTCTCCCTCCCTTCCTTCCTCTCCCTCCTTTCCTTCTCCTCCCTTCCCATCCCTCTCTTCCCATTTCTCCCTCCCTTCCTTCCTCTCCCTCCCTCCCTTCCTTCTCTTCCCTTCCTTCCTCTCCCTCTTTTCCCTCCCTTCCTTCCTCTCCCTCCTTTCCTTCTCCTCCCTTCCCATTTCTCCCTCCCTTCCTTCCTCTCCCTCCCTTCCTTCCTCTCCCTCCCTTTCCTTCTCTTCCCTTCCTTCCTCTCCCTCCCTTCCTTCCTCTCCCTCCCTTCCTTCTCTTCCCTTCCTTCCTCTCCCTCCCTCCCTTCCTTCCTCTCCCTCCTTTTCCCTCCCTTCCTTCCTCTCTCCCTCCTTTCCTTCTCTTCCCTTCCTTTTTCCTCCTCCCCTCCTTTCCTTCTCTTCCCTTCCTTCCTTGCCCTCCTTTCCTTCTCCTCCCTTCCTCTCCCCACTTCCCTTCCCCTCACATCTTTCTCATCCCTCCCATAGCTTCCTTCCTTTCTCTGTCTGCCTCGTCCCATTTCTTATTCTTACTCTCTTCCCCTCCATCTCTTCCTTCCATTCCTCCCTCTTCCTCCTTCCTCTCCCTCCCTCCCACCCTTCATTCCCATCCCTCCTCGCCCCCCCGCACTTTCCTTCTCCTCCCCTTCCCTTCACATCTTTCTCCGTCCCTCCATAGCTTCCTTCCCTAATTTTCATACTCTCCCTCCCTTCTCTTAGAGACATGAAAAAGTGACGGCAGAAAAAGACCAAGTGCCCATTTTTTTGTTTTGTTTTTTGTCCAAGTATAGACCTATGTCTATACTTGGTCAAGCCTGTATAGGAAGCCATTTTCTGATGACACGGCTCACTACCTCCACTGGAAGTTCATTCCAAGCCTCAACTACTCTTTCTGAGATCAGTTTCTGAACTTTCCTCCAGTCAGTTGGAGGTCCTGTCCTCGTGTTCTTGATTTCGGTTTGTGTTGAAAAAAATCCCGCCCTCCTCAACTGTATTCAACCCCTTCATGTATGTAGAGGGTTCAGTCATGTCTCCCCTTTCCCTTCTTTCCTCCAGACTGGACATGTTAAGTTCCTGAAGTCGCTCTTCATATGTTTTATCCCCCCCCCAGATCTTCCACCATTTGTGTTACCTGTCTCTGGACTCATCTATCTTATCAATATCAGGAATCAGGACCTCCTTCCTCCTGCCGGTGACCCCTCTAGTGATCGGATCTATATAGAGGAATCAGGACCTCCTTCTCCTGCCGGTGACCCCTCTAGTGATTAGGATCTATATAGAGGAATCAGGACCTCCTTCCTCCTGCCGGTGACACCCTCTAGTGATAGGAATCTATATAGAGGAATCAGGACCTCCTTCCTCCTGCCGGTGACCCCTCTAGTGATCGGATCTATATAGAGGAATCAGGACCTCCTTCCTCCTGCCGGTGACCCCTCTAGTGATAGGATCTATATAGAGGAATCAGGACCTCCTTCCTCCTGCCGGTGACCCCTCTAGTGATAGATTATATAGAGGAATCAGGACCTCCTTCCTCCCCCACCGGTGACCCCTCTAGTGATCGGATCTATATAGAGGACTCAGGATCTCCTTCCTCCTGCCGGTGACCCCTCTAGTGATCGGATCTATATAAGAGGAATTCAGGACCTTCTTCCTCCTGCCGGTGACCCCTCTAGGATTAGGATCTATATAGAGGAATCAGGACCTCCTTCCTCCTGCCAGTGACCCCTCTAGTGATATAAAGATCTAAATAGAGGAATCAGGGACCTCCTTCCTCCTGCCGGTGACCCCTCTAGTGATATAAAAAGATCTATATAGAGGAATCAGGACCTCCTTCCTCCTGCCTGGGGGACCCCTCTAGTGATAGGATCTATATAGAGGAATCAGGACCTCCTTCTCCTGCCGGGGACCCCTCTAGTGATAGGATCTATATAGAGGAATCAGGACCATCCTTCCTCCTGCCGGTGACCCCTCTAGTGATATAAGATCTATATAGAGAATCAGGACCTCCTTCCTCCTGCCGGTGACCCCTCTAGTGATAGGATCTATATAGAGGAATCGGGACCTCCTTCCTCCTGCCGGTGACCCCCTCTAGTGATAGGATCTATATAGAGGAATCAGGACCTCCTTCCTCCCGCCTAGTGATGGTATGTTTATACTGCAGTAGGGTACCGGACCCCCTCCCTCCTCTCTAGTGATAGATCTATATAGAGGAATCGGGACCTCCTTCCCTTCCTGCCGGTGACCCCTCTAAGTGATAGGATCTATATAGAGGAATCGGACCTCCTTCCTCCTGACGGTGACCCCCTCTAGTGATAGGATCTATATAGAGGAATCGGGAACCTCCTTCCTCCTGCCGGTGACCCCTCTAGTGATAGGATCTATATAGAGGAATCGGGACCTCCTTCCTCCTGCCGGTGACCCCTCTAGTGATAGGATCTATATATAGAGGAATCGGACCCTCCTTCCCCCTGCCGGTGACCCCTCTAGTGATAGGATCTATATAGAGGAATCGGGACCTCCTTCCTCCTGCCGATGACCCCTCTAGTGATAGGATCTATATAGAGGAATCGGGACCTCCTTCCTCCCGCCGGTGACCCCTCTAGTGATATAAAGATCTATATAGAGGAATCAGGACCTCCTTCCTCCTGCCGGGGACCCCTCTAGTGATAGGATCTATATAGAGGAATCAGGACCTCCTTCCTCCTGCCGGTGACCCCTCTAGTGATAGGATCTATATATAGAGGAATCAGGACCTCCTTCCTCCCGCCGGTGACCCCTCTAGTGATAGATCTATATAGAGGAATCAGGACCTCCTTCCTCCTGCCGGTGACCCCTCTAGTGATAGGATCTATATAGAGGAATCGGGACCTCCTTCCTCCTGCCGGTGACCCCCTCTAGTGATAGGAACTATATAGAGGAATCAGGACCTCCTTCCTCCTGCCGGGGACCCCTCTAGTGATATAAAGATCTATATAGCGGA